TCTGAATGCATCCCTGGAGTTAGCTAGTTACATATAACAGTAGTTGTTCTCAGTAATACACGAGGTTTAATGTAATAATAGATTTGGATTTCAGTATGCATGTGTTAGAGCATAGTTCTCATATAAGTTGGCAACTTCACATAAGTAATGATAGGATTTGTACAGAGTAAGAGCTAGAAGTATAGTGCCTATATGAGATTCACCTGATAGGTATCAGGATAATACCACCCCCCTTTTTGTGTGCCTGGATTAGGGAAGAACTCTTACAAAAGTTGACAACTTTTAATGTAATTTAAGTAATGACAGGATCAATGTAGAGAAGGTAACGAGTATATAATGTCCACATGAGCCTCACCTGGTAAGGCATTACAATACCATTAGCCCACGGAAGGCTCTACTAGATACTATAGCTATTATAAATGTTGGTAAGTTTTGCAGATAAGTCTTTTATGTAGTACTGTATATAAGTTGCTGATTTATGACCCGTATTTTAGAACATAAGTCCAAAATAAAACACAAACATCTAGAAGCCCCCCTCGTGGATCATGTGTATCGTAATAGTGTTTGTTGAATTTATAGAAAATCATCACTGATATCTTTGAAACGTCACCAGAGAAAATGAATTATTGAGAGACAGTATTTGTAAGGTTTCATACTATTTTATTAACAATTGTATTGGAATGATTCTTATTGTGGTATAAGTTTTTCAAAATGTATGTTGTTGTATTTCACATCTTTGTTTGGAAGAAGATCAACCATCGAAACGGCAAGGCATTTTGGAGACCACCATCAATTTTCTATTATTCTGTATATTATTGTACACTTATTGTATAATTTTATTAAGCGTCACATCATCACAGTTCTTTTTGGTTTTCCTATTGTCCTATGACTGTGCCAATCAATTTGATACTACAAACAAAATGTTTGCCAAACTTCAAAGCAACAGGGGCCATGGAATTCTCCAGCCTTCAAAACACTGTTGTCTGTTTCAGACTAGTCATGTCAGTTTCAAGAGGGCTGTTTTTCCCCCACCCTTGCTTGCCTTCCTTTCTTGCACAGAGTTTGCAAAAACCCATCCCCCCCAACTTGGTTTTGTGACTCTGTGCTTTGAGATCAGTCCTTTTAAGCTTGCTGTTCCAGTGACACTGGCTGTGGGGCACTCTGTAATTGCACTGGTACTGTTGGGTACTTTATCCATTATATTAGTTCTGGGGCTGGTGATTTGTCAGTTTTTAATTTGTCCATCAGTTGTAGGACCTTATCTTTCGTCACCTCAATCCTCCTGAAATCGGCAGTTCTGTAGCGGGCAACCACCTCCCATCTTCAGCAGTGAAGACAGAGACAAAAATGCATTCCGCTTCTCTGCCATTTCCCTATCACCCTTTAGTAATCCTTTTACTCCTTAGTCGTCCAAGGGCCCCACTGCCTCCTTGGCTGGTTTTCTGCTTCTAATGTATTTAAAGAAATTTTTATTGTTGGTCTTTATGTTTTTTGCAGTATGTTCCTCAAAGTCCCTTCTTGCCGGTCTGATCACTGACTTGCATTTTATTTGCCACAGCCTGTGGTCCCTTTTATTTACCCCACTCGGACTAGCTTTCCACCACTTAAAGGAATCCTTCTTACCTTTTACTGCTTCCATTACTTTGTTTGTTAACCATGCAGGCCTTTTTTATACTTATTTGTACCTTTCCTAACCTGTGATATACATTGTATCTGAGCTTCCAGTATATCGTAGTTTTAAATAGTCTCCAAGCTTCCCAAAGGGATTTGAGCCTCCTTATCTCCTTGCTCATGAGGCACATCATTGGCTTTGGGGGGAATCAGAAGAGGCTGCTGGGAAAAGGGGAATGTTCATACAACTTTGCTTATGGTAAACATCTTCAGGAAAGGGGAATGGTACAACTTTGCTTATGGTAAACATCTTCAGGAAAAAAGCACACACCATAAAGCCTAGGCCAGGGATGTAAGCCCAGAGGTGGAAGGAAAATCTCTTTGCCCAAAGAGAGAGTGATACCAGCTCTCCGTTTAGAAGCCTTTCTCCCTCCCTTTTCCATTGTGTTTCTCTTGTATTTTGGTACTTTATTTTTGTACTTCGTACTTCGTAAGTTGCTTTGTGTCCCCGTGGGGGAGAAAAGCAGGATACAAATGAATTAATACATGAAAATAATAAAGGGAAGGGCTGAAAGATCTGTGTCTGCAAGAGCCTTTGCCTATTGCTTGGTAGCTGCTTTAATGCGTAATGGCCACCAGAGGGCATCCTAGGTTAAGGGTGTGTTGGCTGTGGGGGGTGGCGGCTTGTGATCGGGTGTATTGTGGAAACTGTTCATGAGGGCATGTTTCCTCGTGCCATTACTTAATGTCTAAATCGGGTATTTATTTACTAGAAGAGCTTAGGAACGTGTTTAGGTATGGTAAAAAGGCACAATTTTCATATATATACACATATAAAATGTGTTCATGTGTAAAGCGGTTCTTATGGGATGGGTAAGCTGCTGTCTGTGTATTCACTCTCTGTTTAATGGGCTGTATAATGCCTGATCTGGGTAGCCCAGGCTAGCCCCCCTGTTGTTACATCTCGGAAAGCTAAGCAGGATCTGCTCTGGCTAGTATTTGGATGGGAGTCCTCCAAAGAATTCCAGGGTCACTACATGGAGGCAGACAAGGCATCTCTGAATGTCTCTTGCTTTGAAAACCCTACAGGGGGTCACCATGAGTCAGCTGTGACTTGACGGCAAAAATAAATAAATAACGGGCACGACATCCTTCACAGGGCTGGGTGGCTAGGCAAGGCAAAAGGGCTCAGTTTAAATGTATTTCTATCAGTCATTGGCTATAAGAACAAATGGGAGAAAAAGATGCATCCAGCAAAGCAGTAACTTGGATGGCTTTCATCATAACAATCATAAACCATCGTATGGCATTTAATGAAAGGAATGGCAGCCTCAGGGAAGGATGGGGAAACTTTTTTAAATGTTGAAATTGCTGTGTAAAGTGATAGTAGTAAAGGTATTTTTCTGCCAGTGGTGTGCCAAGAATATTTGGGAAAGCCCCTCCCCAGCTTGACAGAGCTTGGCTCATGTTTCAAAGGCTTGTAGTATAGAATCTGTAAGGGCCAGATCTGTGGTATCCATCTACATAAGTTTGCTGGGAGGGTCCCCCTCTCCCCTTGGTACTTAAGTCTATCTTGCTGTTCCTCTTCCTGATGGGAAAGTTTCTCCTGCATTTGTATTATTCCTAAAATAATGTTTAGGCTTCCTTTTTTAAAAAATTGCACTCCCCAAATGGTCTTCCTTGAATCCCACTTAGTTTTCCCTGTGGTTGTGTATTCTGCTGCCACTGATAATGACCTTACCACGCATGGTAGAAAAAAGCTGGTGTAGCATAGTAGCTGATGCATTGTTGCCTCTGTGCCCTCCTCCCCATTTGCAGTACAGAGGTAGCAGTAGTACTTAGTGTTGCCAACTCTGGGTTGAGAAATTCCAGGAGATTTAGGGAGTGGAATCTAGGGAGGGGTGGGGTTTGAGAGAGAAGGAACTTAGCAGGGGATAGCGCTTTATGTCACCCCCCAAAGCAATAATCTTTTCCTGGGAGAGCTGATGTCTGTGGCCTGGAGATCAGTTGTAATTACTGGAGGTCTCCATACCCCACCTGAAGGTTGGCATCCCTAATAGTACTCTGCTTGATTTGGTTGCCATACCACAGGGAAGACCTTTAAAAAAGAGTGACACAAAGGTGGAAAAACTTACATAGGGACTGCTCTGATCATTTGATGACAAAAGTGGAAGAGTAATACCACAGGGAAGAGTACTACAAAAGTGGAAAAACCTACATAGGGACTGCTCTGATCATTTGATGTACACTGAATAAGTAGCTGTATGAAACATGCAGTGAGGGAAGTAGTCTTAAGACCTCTATTCAGAAGGGAAAGCAGTGGGATTTCTGCAGGGGGGAAGAGATGCAGTCTATACACTGATGCTATTTTTAACAGGCATCTCTTCATTCCGTTCTTATATTAAATTCAGTAGTAAAGTGCTTCCAGTCTCTTTTCATGGCCATTTCAATGTAGGTTCCTACAGTATTTGTTCCTACTAAGGGCATACACACATACACAAAAATTGGTATTTTTCAGGTTCACGTATATTGAACTCGAAAAATATTGATGTTTGCCGATATTCCTAAGTCCCAATATCAGTATGGTATCTGGGGTCCCCCTGTTTTTTGAAGTAGAGGCACCAAATTTGCAACATGGCTGCTGGTGCCTCTCCTCCCAAAACCCCAAGTTTCAAAAAGATTGGCCTAAGGAGGGGTTCAATTCTATGGCCCAGAAGAGGGTGCCCCCATCCTCCACTGTTTCTGAGGGGGAGGCTTTCTCCATTTAAATGTGTGAGAGGTCACTGAACTTATTTAAATGGAATGAGAGTCCTTTAAATGCCCTGTAACTGCGGCTATCCAGCAGCCCCGAAAAAAACCCAAATATTTTTTAGTTTTTGGGTTGGTCATTTTTTGATAGCTGAATCACCAGCCCCCTAGGTGATTGGCTGAGAAAATACCTGATGGTATTTAAGTGTATTTGGGTATTTTTTTGGTTCAGTTTATACAGAGCGCACACCCCTAGTTCCTATTTTACTTCTGTGCTGAAAAGTGATGGCTACTACATACTACTTTATTGTGATTGAAGTAATGTGAGGAATCCTGCTTTTGAATTTTATTTATATACTGTATTTATAGTTCGCCTTTCTCACTGAGACATAATATGTCAATGAGATAGTTTACTCAGTTTTCCTCCAGAGTGGGTTTTCAGCCCATCTAGCATCTCTGGAGAGGCAGTGCTGAGCTGCTCTCAGCTATTTCTGTGACAGCTGAACTCAGAATTACTAATGATCAAATAAAGTGAATAAATAATAATAAATAAATGAGCCCTGTATTGGATGGGATATATCATGCTTTGGTGCCAGCAGTATGAAAGGTGTTGATTACATAGCTTTTCCTGACTTTTGCAGGTTGCCATCTCTTCTTTGTCTGCAGTGATCAAGTATTTAGAACTTCTAAATGATGAGTCTAATTTTGGGCAATTTGAACTCGGCACCTTCGACCTCAGTCAGTACATGACACTGGATCATGCTGCTGTCAGAGCTCTTAATCTTTTCCAGGTAAGTAGTTTTACTCCAGGATTGAAATTGTATTATCCTTTAGGCTTTTCTCCCCTGTCAGCTTCAGGTTTACATCATATTTCTCCAAGCCTGTATTAATTTATTAATGAATATTCTTTCTTTATAATATTTGGACTCAAGATGGCTTCTCAACTAAGTCCCGTCTACTTCTAAGTTAGATTCACTAGTCTTTCTAAGAAATAGACCATCAGATCTCCTCATGACTGGACCAGTTTGCTTCCTACAGTTCAGGCATGAAATTTAGCGAGTATGATCCGCATTCCACCTTTATAAGGTGCCATTGAACCAATTTAAACATTTTTAAAAAAAGATAATAGTCTATTGTAGATCCAGGTGGTCAGCTGTGTTGGTCTGAAGCAGTAGAACAAATGTAGAGTGCCACTGGACTCTAAATTTATTGTAGGACAAGACCACCTCAGGATTCAGGTGGGAGATGCATGTCTGCTCCCTCAGAGAATGCAAAAAACTAGCATGTCTGGAAGAAAGTGCCTATCCTAGCCTATTCTTGATATTATAACTCCTCATGAGCAGAGCCTGTAGCATTTTTCAATATACACAACTATAACACAATGACCTCTCCCTGGCTGTTGCCGTGACCGAGCTGTGGCGTCACTGCCTATATATATATATATTTATTTATACTGGATTCAGTTTATTTTACTGTGATGTGACTGACCAGTTCTGCTTTCTGATGGCTGAACCTCAAAACTTAAAAGTAATATCTTCAGGGTTTGAGGACAACTGCCCAGTATAATTCTTTTTCAAAGAGTCAGGCACCAGTGCTTGTAAAAGTCAAACAGCACAGTTCTTTATTTCACAGAAAAGTCAACAGGGGGATGGGATATATTTACACAGGATATTTTGATACTTTGTAGAATAAACACTTTACTTTGCCTTTACATAGGCTGTATACCTATCACTCTCAGTTTGACTCAGATGTTCTTTAGTTCACAACACCCATCTATGATCCCACTCTCCAGTAACTTTTGTGGTTAACCTTTGGGCTTTATTTGCCTGGTCCCTTGAGTTTTACTGGTGCGACTACCCCAGCTTTCCTCCAGACCCTTAGCCCTTCCTTAGTCACCTTTATCAGTTCCTTTGGAGCAGTGTATCTGGTGTTTGTGACCACTGAGGTTTTATACTGTGCACACTCTGTTCACGCTCCTCTTTACATTAGAGGGTACCATTGCAGAGTGCTATTCAGCCACAGTTTTCCACACAAACTGCTATCTGGCTGATTCCACTGAGCCCAGAGGCTTTTGTCCTCTTCAGAGCTCTCCAGTTAGCTGACTGCTAACTTTCTTCCAACTGTCTCTGCTCAACTGTCAGCTCTCAACTGTCAGCTGTTCACAGTTATCTGTCACTCACTGAGAGTTCCGAGCCAACTGGCCCCCACCACTCTCAGTCACATGACTCAGCAGCTCTTTTGTTTACCTGCTGCTGTTCTCAAATCTTTTATTCCGTCACAACAACAGTCCCCCAACTTGCATTCTGAAGGGACCATCTGTTGTTTCCAAACTTTTGAATGAACTTTAGGGCTGGAGAAATACAGTGCTTTAATGCTGTCCTGTGTGTTTCTGAACTTAAAATGACGCTTCATTGAAAATTTATTATGTAGCAGTGCCATTCCCTAGTGTCCTGACATGGACGGCCCACACTTGTCTAATGTTGTCAGATCTTGGAAGCTAAGCAGGGTCAGCCATGGTTGGTACGTGGGTGGAAGACCACTTAGGAAGTCCAGGGTTGTTGTTCAGAAGCAATGGCAAATCACCTCTGAGCATCTCTTGCCTTGAATACCCAATGGGGGTCACCATAAGTTGACTGCAACTTGACAGCACTTTCCACCAGTGGTGCTGCTTCCAGGCAGGATCTCAATACCATCTGGCCAGATCAGTATTAATGTAAGATTCCTGCCTTCTCACTACGTAGCCAGTGGCAAACACTTGCTTTGCCTTTTGCTACTTGACACCAAGCTTTTAAATGTTTCCTAGCAAGCCGTATATGCCCACAAGTAATTAATTTCACTTCTCTCTCTCTCTCTGTCTGAAGAACTTGGAGTCGCTTAGGTTCCTAGGTGGTCTCCCATTCAGGCAGTTTATAGGACCAGGTCTGATTATATTCAGAAGTACTATGTTCCTTCGTATTATTCTCTGGCTGAAATGATTAGTCCTCCACAGAAGACATTATGTGCATTAAATCAGTATTTGTAGAAAAGGAGTGTGTAGGCACAATCTCTGGCTTGTCAGTGCTGAGTGTACATGTGTAGGAAGTGTATGTATGTAGATTCCATCTTTGCAATTGGGAATGTTCAAAAAATGGGCAGCCACCTATATCTGCACATCCTGTCTTATAGTCTCCATGCCGAAGAGCCAAAAATCATGTGTAGGTGACAGGCAGTGCCATTGCCTGGTCTCCCTCTGTGTGTGTTGATTTCAATATATTTCATGTCATCTGTAGAGAGCGAAGTCCTGATTAGAGCCAGGCTAAGGGTTGTCCTGATCAGATGGGAAGCAAGCCTGGTCCTCCCTGCATATTTATTCTCATTAAGAGCAGCACTCTGCAGTGGTGGAGGAGTCATCCTTACTGGCTGCCCCCCATTAGCTGTACTTGTGTTTGTTTTCTACTTCTTGTACTAACCTCTGCCCTGTTTGTTTGTGTGGTTCTACTGACCAGCTTTGTTGTGGGTTTTAACTCTCTGTATGTGTTGCTTTACAAGACCTCTGTTTAATTTGATTGTTAGCCATTGTGGGGATTTAGGTAAATCAAAAGGCGATTAGAGGGGAGGGTGTCTTGTTAGCATCCCGAAGAAATGTATGTCTTTTTAACTTAGAATTCTAAAGGAGAAAATTCCTTGACTTATAACTGCAAAGAGTCAAGTATATTCACACTAAGGATTTCTGGGACTAGAAGCAAATATTAGAATAATTGTGGGGTTTTTTTTGTCTTGTGTGTTCTATGATTGATATTCTTCTTGGTATGGCTTGTATCTATGGTTAAGAATTCCATGATGAGAACATGTTTTGATTAGGGCTGTAACCCAATTTAAAGAAATCATAGTTGATCATATGAGTTTTAATTGATTAAATTTGCATACTTCTACATATGAATGAAATAATACTTCTGAAGTGAAAATCATACTGGCTGTTTTGAGATGATAATGCCAGCCCAGATGTTTGCATACATTTCAGAAGAGGGCATTCCCTTCTGTGCCTAGAGGAAAGTGAGGATGCCTTTTTAAAGAATATGACACATGTGATTTTAGTATTTAAAACAACCCTATTGTAAAAAAAAAAGCGAACAGGTGCTTGGAGGCAGTTTTGGAATGGATACACACTAAAAAGTTGAAATCTAATCCGGACAGAACGGAGGCGCTACTGGTGGGGGGAAGGTCTGACCCAGGAAATGGGTTAGCCCCTGTTCCGGACGAGGTTGCACTCCCTCTAAACGACCAGGCGTGCTCCTGGACCTAGGCCTGCTGTTGAACAAACAGGCGGCAGCAGTGGCTGGGGGTGCCTTTCACTAGTTTTGGCTGGGGAGCCAGCTGTGGCCCTTCCTGGGTAGAAAAGATCTTGCCACTGTGGTAACATCTACATTAGATTACTGCAATGCCATCTCTGTGTGGTGCCCTTGAAGACTGTCTAGAAGCTGCAGTGGGTACAGAGTGCTGTGGTGGCCGCAGTGTTGACTGGAGTGGAATGTAGGAGCCGTATTAACTCCAGTCTTGTTCCATCTACACTGGCTTCCAGTTTTCTTCCAGGTTCAATTCAGTGTGCTGGTATTTAAAGCCCTGCACTGTCTGGGACCAACATACCTCAAGGACTATCTTCTCCCATATGAACCTACCTGTTCACCCTGGTCATAGTTCGAGGCCCTGCTTTGGTTACCCTGTGCCATCTGAGGCTAGACAGGCGGCAACCCGGGGAAAAAAAGGGCATTCTTGGCCATGGCACCAAAACTCTGGAACTCCCCAGGGAGATTCATCTGTCTCCCTTTATTGGTGTCTTCCATCAACGGGTGAAGCCTTTTTTTGTTTTGCTTGGCATACCTCTAATAATGGGTTGTTTGTTTAAGTCATGTGTTTCTATTGAATCACTTACAACTTTTAAACAGTTTAATGTTTTTATGTGGACTCCCGTGAGGACCCTGATAGGGTGGAGAAGCGGCATACAAAAGTTTTAAATAAATGTTAATAGAATAATTCAATGTGAGAAGGGGTTCTTGAGGTTTCTGGACTGTTTCCTCGAAGTTCCCCAAAAGCATGGTTTCTGCAATCCTGAATGGCTGCTGTTTTTTAAATTCAAAATAACTTCTTCAGAGTAACAGTGCACCTAGACTCAGGGACTTGTAAAAATGTTACTAGGAAGGAGGGCTACTTTGAATTAAAAAAAGCGCACATCGACACATGGGAGCACAACAAGTGATGCTTTGTTTCTGTGAACGCCATAATTTGGGGGAGGGCAGCTTGCTCCCCAAAAGAAGATTCAGCCTAGGAGGTCCTTGGGCTGCCGTACTCCCTCTCTTCTCCTCTGCATGTGAGTGGCTGGGAAATTGCCAACTTCCGGGTTTACAGCCAGCTGCAACATCCAGTCACTCAAATGTTTTTAATATTTAGTTCAAATGTTTAATGTTTAGTTGTACATCCAGATTAGGCAAACTGTGGTTTGTTCTCTTGCCTGATTGTAGTGCTATTTGGGTGAGAACCCTTTCCTTGCCCCAACACAGCTCTCCTATCTACTGGCCTGTTGGTCTTCTGAGATGCTGGCTTCCTTTATTTGCTCCTGGTGAGTTAGGCTCAAATGGTTTTTTTTACTTATTTCCTTCTTTTATGCTCCACCTTTGTCCCCAGTGGGGACTCAAAGGAGCGTACATCGTTATCTGCTCCTCCATTTTATTCTCATAACAACCTTGTGAGGTAAGGTAGGCTGAGAGTGCATGACTGGCCCAAGGTCACCTTCTCAGCTTGGATGGCAGATGGAACCTGAGTCTCCCAGATCCTATGCCAACACTCTAACCACTATACCACACTGTCTCTCATGCCTCCTGTTCACCATGAACTAATTTGTGTTATGAAATGAAAGAATACACAGAGAGTACTGAAGTGCAAACCCCATGCTCTCTGTAGCCGCTTCCCCCTCTTCCCTCTCCGCTTCTAAGCAAGGTTACAAAGAAAAAGGTCAGCAATGTGTAGAGGGTGCTGGAATTTTCAATGACCGTCATAACTTTTTCTTTCCTCAGAATTCTTCAGAAAATGCCCTTGGCACACAGTCTCTGGTAGGACTGTTGAATAAGTGCAAAACCCCTCAAGGACAGAGGCTTGTGAACCAGTGGATCAAACAGCCTCTGATGGACAAGAACAGAATAGAGGAAAGGTAAACAACTAAAAATGCAGGGGACTGTCATGGTTCTTTCTTTGACTGCTGATGTTTCGAATCTGTCTGTTTTTGACATACTGGTGTAAATGGGTGATTGGAGGGGGAGAAATACCCACCAGTAACTGGTACCTTAGATCCTTGCCTCATGTTTCAAGGACTGTAGTACAGAATCTGCAAGAGCCAGATCTGTTGTATTCATTTACATAAGACTGCAAGAAGGGTCCTTTATCGTATTGGAAGTAAATCTTTTTTCCTCAATTTAATCAGCAAGCGATCTCTACGCACATCAGCAGTGACCTGCATTTCCTCTTCCTGGTGGAGAGTCTCTCTTCATTTGTATTATTCCTAAACCGTGCTTGAGGCTTTCCTTCCAAAAAATGGCACTCTCCAAATGGTTTTCCTTGAATTCCGCTTGGTTTCCCCTGAGGTTATGTTTTCTTCTGCTCCAAATCCTAATCCAACATTCTCTAACCATGACCCCCAGTGGCTTTTAAAGCCTTCTCCTTAGGAATGAACATGGAGCTGCCTCTACTGTATTCACTATATGACCCAGGCCAGAGGGAGGGATGTAGTCATGCCATTCCTCAGCCATTATGTCAGGTTGCAGTACAGAGGATGATTACTTGAGTTGCTTCAGGCAATGTGAGGCAATAAAGGTGCTGTTCAGTATCTGCAAAACTGGTGGTTTCCTTCCTGTGGCTGCACTCTGTGTTAGCATGCAAATGCTTTGGTTGTTAAGTGAGGCAATCCTTGGTTAGCCTGAAGGGAAGTTTTCCTCCCCATTGCGGTATGGGTGGTGTTTCAAGCCTTCTTTTTTAAGGGTTCTGTCTGCGGAGAGTTGTACCTTCTTTCTCTTCTGTTGAGCAAAGAAAGATGTGTGTGTTCAGTAGGAGAAGTATTTTAATTTTTGCTGCTCTCTAGTACCAAGGCTGTGCTAGATGCTCAGTGTCCTTGTTGCCTTAATATTTACTTTCTTAGCTGTATGTACTGTAAAATGAAACTTGGCTTTATGACCCCAAACTCAATTGTGTATTGAGTGGGAAAGCCAGGCTTCAGTTCAGCAGAGTGTTTGTTTTAAAAACTGTAATGTTGGCTTACAAGCCTCAGTCTTTCAAATGACAAAACCCCAGTTCACCTTAAAATCGGATGCTTCGCTGGTGTGTCAGAAAGCAAAAAGAGAATTTCATGACTTTTAGTGCACCTCCCTGTGTTTGTGTGGCTAAGGCGCTTTGGCTTGCTGTTCCAGGAATACCTCGAGCAGGTAGCTGGATTTAGTAGTGATTTTCTGGAAGGATGATTTGTTTTACTTAGAGTGTTGGACTAGGATCTGGGAGACTCAGGGAGCAATCTGAAGCAGGTCTGCTTGAAAACATGCCCCATTTTAGTGTATGGGGCTTTCTCCCATGACAGTGTTTGGTCTCTTGGCCTAATCTAACTTTGAATCTTGTTCAGTGTGCCAGTTTGCTCTCTTGCTAGTATCCAAATGATCATTCTGTTAAAACTGCATGCTTTGATAGCCTAAAGCCTTAAGTGAATCTTTCTCTCTCCCAGATAGAACTCAGGAAAAGGGGTGTGTGTGTTATACTAGAGTTTTGAAAAACTCCCCTAACATTAGGTTAAAATGATGGCTGGAAGAACAATGTATGTTGCCTTGAGCTTCCTTGGAGGAAGAGTGGGATAAAACAAATTGACAGGAATTAAAAAAAAAGCTTTAATGCAACAATAAATGTGTTGGTCTTTAAAGTGCCACAACAGGTTACAAGCAACCTAACCCAGCTACTCTGCTGGAATCTGGACAGGAATTAAAAAAAAAAGCTTTACTGCAGCAATAAATGTGTTGGCCTTTAAAGTGCCACAATAGGTTGCAAACAACCTAACCCAGCTACTCTGCTGGAATCCCCGGAAACTGAGTTTTGGCTGTGTGAATTCTGTATTAGTTTTGATCTAATTTATGGTCACCTTGTTAGTGTTCATAGAAATGATGTAAACAGTTAAGATATACTGTACGTTTCTCTGACCTAAATAGCCCAGGCAAGCCTGATCTCGTCAGATCTTGGAGGCCAAGCAGGGTCAACGCTGGCAAGAACTTGGATGGGAGACCTCCTTGGGATACCAGCAGGTGGGAGGCGGGGGCAGGCTTTATTCAGCCACCTCTCTGAATATCCACCAGACTCCCACTGGGGTCAGTCACCAGAGGTTGCCATGACTTCCAGGAGCACACATACTCATACACACACGAAAAATACAAAAATAAATAAATCCCCAAATATATACACACACAGAGACACACACACACAGAGTACACTGTATTTAGGGTCTTTGCCAGGCCAAAATGCAGAAAATGTGTTGACAAAATAAAAAGTGATGATTTGTGTGGAGAAAAAGGTCCCAGTGTAGTAGAATGACTCTAGAGGGCATTGTAGTCATAAACAAATACAGCAATGTATTTTTAAATTTCATTTTTGCTGCTAGATTCTGTAACTTGTGCTGTGCTGTTAGGGGAGCACCATAGTGTGTTGCAGTTGTAAGGGTGCTTTCAGTTTTGCATCCTGTTCTTTTTAAAGGAAGGGCTTAATAATGGAGTATTTTAATGTGCGAGTATTTGTCTGTCTACCCTGTAGCCTGCTTTTTACCACTGATGGCTGATCAAGAGGGAAATTTACAATGTTGTGATAAGGTCAGGGAGGCTCCCACAGTACTGTAATTTTGCAGAATGATGGAGGATGCAATATTTTTTATAAAGGGCACAGGGATGCAATTTTAATGGTCTATGGAAAATTTAGGCAGCCCCCACACACACATTATGCATTGGATGTATTATAATGCCTTTATTTCATTGTTCTCTAATAATGTAATCCAGTTTTATTACAGTGTTATATGTATTGTAGTAGTCTTTATTCTGTAATCTGCCTTGAGACTCAATGAGAGAGGCAGATAATAAATGAAGGCAAATGAAAAAGTAAGCAAGTGTGCACTCAAGTGGTAAATTTAGTTATCTAGAGTGGCCTGCCATGTGCTGAGCCCCATCTGGCTGTGGAAAGTGGGGAAAATGGTAACATTCTTCTCATGTGTGTGCTGTGTGGAAGCTGTAGTTGACTGAATTACTGGGTGTAGTGCGAAGATGGAAATAGTTGTCTGTAATTGGCCATTAACATTAAAGGTGAAATTGAATGGACTGGGCAAGGCCCTGTCCAGTAATGCTTCCGTTTTCCACTGCGGTATATAGAAGATTGCTTAACTTAGCTTTTCAAGTCTGTCTACACCACACTACTGAAAGAAGGGCATTTCTTGCCTCTTCTCCCTTCAACATATGGCAAAACTCTAGGAAATGCTAACTAAATTGGGATGTGGAAAGGCAGTAGTGACATCTCACTAAAGGCTAAAGAGTTCATATTCAGAAGAGATTTCTTGCCCACCCCCAGTGTCCGTAGGTACCAAAGCCTTTTGTAGACAGCATGTGGGCTTACAAGTAGACTTCATGTGGGAAGATCTGTGAATGTCTCCAAAAGCCCAAGGGAAAAATATATCTACTTCTGCTTGAACACATTCTGTCTGATGTCTGTGCTGTCAGAGGCCTTGTGGTGATGGAGGCATGACCTTGGTCAGAGTCTGATAGAAGAACATTTGTTACAGTGGCACTGTGGATAGGATTGGATTGTGAACGGGCAGTTCAGCTTCAACCATTGCTCAGCTTTGGCATTATGGGGGTGGGAGCGAGAAAGTCACACAGGAAACAGTCATGTATCTGCTTTTCCTACCTTTCAGGGCTGCTGTGAAAGATGAACTGTCTACTGAAAAGTGTTATAAATGAATAACCGTTATCCTTCAGTTATTTGTAAAACTTTTCCCTCAGGCAATTCACATTACCTTGGTAATACAGTATTTATTCTATATTGCAGTCTTCCTTTCAGGAGTGCTGTAAGTACTGATACCAGCTCTGGGTTGGGAAATACCTGAAGATTTTGGGGGTGGAGCCTGGGGAGTGCAGAGTTTGGGGAGGGGAGGGACCTCAGCGGGGCGTAATGCTGTTCTGTCCACCCTCCAAGGCAGCTATTTTCTCCAGGGGAACGGATCTTGGTCATCTGGAGATCAGTTGTAATAGCGGGAGATCTCCAGATGCCACCTGGAGGTTGGTAACTAGCTGTAAGGCATATATTTTTATCTTCTCAAATGCTTTCTGTGAGTGCGAGACTTGCTTAAAGTCATCCCGAGAGCTCTGTGGCCAGTTGGGAATTACAAGTTGGATCTCCAGTCCCAGACTCCTCCCCATGCCTTGTAGGCTCTTTTTTCCTTTTTCTTTTCTTTTGATTCTGTATTGATGGAAGGCTGAGAGGTAGTACAACTGTATTTTCTGCCCATAGGAAACTACATATCAGAGAGAAGTATTCTAGTCTGACCTTCTGAACAGTCTTCTTTTCTGTGGTAAAGGGTTTCTGTCATGTGAGCCCTCACCTGATTTGTGAAGATCAGACAGAGACCTCCCACCTTATCTCTGGTTTGTGACAGACTAGGTCTTGGTATTTATGTTACAGTATCTCTGTGTCATGGAATACTTTGAGATATTTTTTTTGCACTTGCCTGTGTAGGGAAACACAGCAAAACAAGCTTTCAGAATCAGTGTAGCTTTGCTTCAGGCAAAACCTGTTGGAAGAAAGCAGGTATATTTTAAAAACTGAATGCCAGATTGATGGGTAAGCTGTGACACCAGGCTTTCAACATGGGAGGAAGCAAATGTTTTCTCCTCTGCCTCAGCTTCTTGGTGGTATGTTAATAAACATTCAGTAGGCAGCTGTATGGTTCCCAGGTATATTGACATTATTTTACAGCCACCAAGAGGTATCTTGGTGCTCCCCGCAGCAGGCATTTTCATTGTAAAAATTAGACACCTACGTAGCATTTAACCACCCACTTGTAACCACTAAGCATATTGACTTTAAGTGGATGTATAATAGAAGTGATGCTGGATCACAGGTAAATTAACTGCTGGCCGCTTGTGT